GGGGGGCAAGGTGTGTGTATGTTGATTTCTTTCATCCCTCCCACGGGGGGGAACGCCGTCCGTCCACATCCGTCTCCACGTGATACAACATGTCCGCCAGCGTGTGCTCAGTCACCGCGCCCCAGCCCATATCACTCATCTGAGGGAGGAGGAGACGTGATTAATGAATGCAGAATAAAGATTAAATATTATCTGGGAAATAAAAATGGTATTAAATGCCTTCAAATTGAACATATTGAGGGGGTTTTTCAATTGAATATAATATAATAATTAGGGGTGCACATAACTTTCTTCGTGAGTTACCGGGGGGTTACTTGGAAAAGCTTCACAAGTCCGACGGTACGCATTTCAGATGTTTGCCGTGCATGCGTGCCAGTTATGTGCACCCCTGATAATAATGTTCTATTTATTGAGTATAGGTTATTCGAACCCTTACTCACACATTACTAAATTAAATTGTGATGGAGGAGAAATAATAATTACGGAAATACAATTTTATATTACCTTTGAATAAAAATGATATGAAATGCTTTCAAAATTGACATATTGAGGGTTATTCAATTGAATATAATATAAGAGAGCGAGAGAGAGAGCGAGAGAGAGAGAACGAGCGAGAGAGAGAGAGCCCACATCTAATAGAGTCAACCAGATTAGAACAAAACACACAAAACTACCTCACTTATTGGAACACTAAATCCAGAACACAAAGTAAAATGCAATGCTATCTGGCCCTAAAGAGACAGTACACTGTGGCAGCCTACCTGAGCACAGTGACTGATGTTACACACAGGAAGATGTTGACAAAGTACAGACTGAGTGCTCACAGCCTGGCCATAGAAACAGGTACACACAGAGAGAGAGACACAGGGACACAGAGAGAGAGACACAGCCTGGCCATAGAAACAGGCAGGTACAATAAAACATGGCTGCCAAAAGAGGAGCGATCATGCCCACAGTGTGGAGGAACTGCTGTGGAGACAGAGCAGCACTTCCTCACACAACGCCCAACTTTTGAACCTGTACGGAAACAATTCTTCCCAAAACTCAATCATAAGCATCCTCAAATATTTAAAAATACTTCTGGGGGAATATAAAGAGAGCTGCATTGTGGCAGGACAGTTTGTCTCTGCCTGCCACAGTCTGAGGGAACCGGAGTGAGCAGATACACCAGGTCTCACATCTTAAGTATAGATATCATATTCTATTTTGTATTAATGTATTCTATGAATGAAATGAATCTGTATTCCTTGTAAAAAAAAAAAACATGTTCTTAGCAGTTTGTTTACAACTGTTTATTTGTGTGTCTTTTTGTATAGATGTTACAACTATACATAGCTTTGGCAATACTGTATGTAAATATGGTCATGCTAATAAAGCTTTTGAATTGAATTGAACGAGAGAGAGAGAGAGAGAGACACTTTGCACATAACTCACGTTAGCGATCTTTTATACTTCATGCTATCTGCACAAACTAGATATCACATGAAAGCTGAGAGTCCACAGATTTTATTGGTTAAGTTTCATCACCGATCAAAACTCACTCTTAACCCTGTGTTCTAGTATGAGAAATTAAAGAACATTGTACCTTGAAAATCAATGCATTCTAATAGCGGGTACATTTGTCCCGTTGGCGGTTTTAGGTATACAGCGACCCCTGGTGGTTCAAGTGTTAAACTACCACAATACAAATAAACACTATTAGTTTTAAATTAGAGATTTTCATTTCATGTGTTAGTCTTAGTTTATTTTCTCTACTTAGTATGTGTACTTTGTTTTTAAATACAGTTATTTTGATATACAGTAGGAACTATATTTGATCTACAATAATATTTAAATCATGTTTTGTTTTTATTTAATCCAACATCGCCATCTACTGGAAAATAAAGCCTGTTACATTTCTAAAACTAAAGATTTGACGTTCTTTGTTTTTTTAACCAGAAAATGTCGTTTCAGAATTCTTACAGGATATTGTTTTAAAGTTAGTTTTACTGTATGACAATATTCTACAATGCTTATTTTTGATTTTAGATTCATTTTAAGTTTTAGAAACTCACCGGCTGGTACTTGAGGTCCTTCGGAGGGTGTTTGAAATTTGGCCCGAAGTTAACGGACACCTGCAGGGAGAGAAGGCAACGCTTAGCACTTAAGCAGGAAGACTCGTTTATAAAGTGTTGAATCTGATCTTCACTGACCGTGCAGCTCTTGTAGAGTGAGATGGCCGGAAAGTACATGCCTTCAAACAGGTTCTCAAAGGCAACACCTTGACTCACTCCGTTTTTAAAGAACACCATCTGGAAAACAGGAAACACGGGTTAAAGGAAACAGGTTTTTTAAGATAGTAATCATTATTCACAACAACAAAAAACTAAATACAACATCTACACCAGGGGTCGGCAACCTGTTTGGAGCTTGACGCGCGTGAACTATCAGCAGGAGGGCGGGGGGGGCCTCGCTGCGGGGAAGCAGTGTGTGGACCTGTCAGCGCAACTTACATGATGCAGAATTTAACAAACACATTTAAATAATTGGTTTAAACGGCATAATAATAAGGACGATCGTCCGTTCTGTGATTCTCCAGAGCACACATGTTATGATCATACTTGCCAACCCTCCCGTTTTTCGCGGGAGACTCCCGATTTCACTGCCCTCTCCCAGTTTCATATTTCTCCCGCATTTCTGACAAAATCCGATTTACTCAGGACTGTTTCCACTCTGACTTTAATACAGCTACACCATTGTTTGGTTTCCATGGTAACACATCTCTTTCGTAGCGCGCGCAACTTAAAGTCTGAGAGGGTGAGGCAGATAGTCACGGAAAACAGAACAAGAATCGACAACTACTCTACTCTCAGCTCACTCCTTTCCTGCCCACACATATGCTCCATCAAGACAGTGCACTTACAACTACAATAAGCAAGCAGGCGACAACCCCCCGCGGTGGTTTTGAAATGCAGAAAAACAGAGGTCTGTGATGTATTTTGTGAAACAGAAGAACAGCTAAATAAATGCAACGGCCTCCCAAGAAGAGCTCGCCTCTCTCCAGTCATTGAAGCTAAAGTGGGTTATTGAACCTGAAGCTTGTTGCTTCTGCCCTCCTCGACTACGGTCTGGGAGCCGAAAGGAAAGTTCAACACACAGATGGCCAGTCCGCCCCTTTGTAGCATATTATTTCGATGAGAGATGAGCAGATCGCCACTGGGCTTTCAACTAAATACACAGCCACGCAAAAACTGCAGCATTTGTACAGCTCCTTATGGGTACTG